TGATACGGTCTTGTCGATTTTAGTCTCACTAATAAAGAATACATCAAATAATTTACGGTTGAGAATGACTTTGACTTCGTCCAGTTTATTCAACAGTCCATTGATATTAATATGAGCCAGTTTCAAGTTGTATTTATAATAATTGTTGACATTAGATTCATACCATTCGATAGAATCTTCTCCGGCTTCCTGGCCATTAAAGGACTTGTTGTTCTTGTCTTCACTCTGATTATCATTRAAACTATCGTTAAAAGGATTATCAATGAAGGGTAAAACATCAGAGATACATGTTGGACAGGTCCAATTGCCTTCAGAGCTATTTTTCAGCCTCAGAAAATCCTTAGGAGTAAATGCTTGACACTTGATATGGTGTGAACGGTTGCAAATATCACAACTCAGAACTCGGTGGTTTTTAGCGATGGTTCGACCACAAGTCTGACATTTATCAGGACCAGGATTTAAACATACATCTCCACTGATAAATAGACGAATTAGATGGAATCCAGAGACAGAATTTGAATGGTACTTAATTCGAGAAGAGAAGTAACCTTTCCCACGTGCTATACGAATTATTAGGCGTTTGTGGTTCCACGAACAAGAATGGAAATTTCTTACTTCAATCTTCACGGAATCTCCACCAAAAGACAAATTATTGCTAGATAAGACTTCGTTGAATCCATTAGTTCCATATTCATACGTGTTTGCTACATCACTTTACACATATTTGCACGTTTATTGTCCTACCAAAAGGCAAGGTTGAGCTGTGATTGTTTGACTTGTCCACAAAAAATAGTTGGTTGCTCGGTTGCACATGAGAAGACACATGAATATGGATACCACTCAAACAAAAAATCTTATTCTCAAGGGAATGACTCGTGGTCTGAAATGGAACAAAACTACCCCAAGCCGAGGAGGACTATTAGTCTCAGTGATATAGGTAACGATCCTTCTTTCTCTCTCTCTTTCAGATGGCTACAGCTTCAAATCAACAAGAAGAAACCGTCCTCTCATTCTTCGTCAACAACTCTCGCTGGCTCAAACTTACCTCACATCAAAAGCAACGCCTATTAAAATACAGCACCAAATTGATTGGCTCCCAAACTGACGACACAACGAAACAACCCAGATCATCTACACCTGATCTCAGTAAAGCCTCTAATGATATCACTGCTGAGATCAAGATCAAGGGATCAAGTGGATCGTCCGCTGCAATTGAGAGCAACCTCTTGGCTCAGTTGGACGAGATCTCCAGTAGTTTTAAAAGTCTTGTTGATACGCTAGCGGCTCTGGAAGGAAAGGTTGCTGAAGAGATGGAAGAGGAGAACGTGGAAACTGACAAGACGACAAAACCTGAAGGACCTGATAATGAGGGTGCTTCTAGTACCGCGGGGAACCTTATTGATTTCAGTGCTCCATCCCCTGAGGAAAGCGTGTCCGAGAAGGACGAGGTACTTCCTATCCTTATTCAACTGGCGCAAAACTGGCCATGTGTTGCGACAACTATACTGGGGTACTACCCTGAGCTTACCCGAGAAAGTCCCATGGAGAGCTCAGATGGAGATTCACATGAGGGACCTAGGGGCCAAGATGGGACTACTAGATATGTCCCTAGTAGATCTTGTAGTATTGACGGCTTTGTTGTCGAACTTCTTGCGAACGCAGACAAGTCTGTACTGATTACTCTCGTAGAGACGATTATCAAAGAGATGAATAAATACCCCCAAGAGCTCTTACTAGAGGTAACCCAACAGTGCCAAGACACCGGGGGCCCGTATACCCCGGGTAGGCTTGCTATTACCGTAGGGATGAAGTTCCTACGCGCTGTTGTACGGCAGATGTCAGTACATCTTAGCCGTAGTGGAGTATCGTATGTTGATTTGAGAAGCCGGCTTGCTTCAAGCTCATCTTCATCATCTCCATCTTCATCTGTAACGTTTGGATCGGATCAAAATAGCAGTGTTGAGTTCAAACACAAAGCAAGGTGAGCACATTCTCTCGTGTCAGTCCTGTTGTATATTATTTATGCTTAAAAAATCGTTGTATCACGAATGACGTCATCCGACCTTGTCATCATGACGTCAGTATGACAGCATCCGCATTCTACAACTTGGTTTAATACTTGGATAGTGAATAATACGTAATTGTAACCTAATATTATTGCCTTATCACGCAATTATTTGCAATTAAAAGACGTCACACCAAACCGAATGACGTCACACCAAACCGAATGACGTCACTACACGCCACAATCCAACACAAACACGTCAAGTTGTTTTTCTTTTGCAGAATGATCCTGAAATCTTTTTCCTGGTTGGGAATTTACGAACTTGTTCAAGCAGCAGAAGCGACGGTCCTTCCTGTACGAGAGGGCGTGGCTAAAGCTCAAGCTAAATCCACTGGAGCAAGTATTAGTAATAACATCCCCACCCATACGGTGTTCCCTGGTGGAAGATACGGGGGAAGACGACCAGGTCAGTTCACTAATGATAATATTAATAATCATATAATATTTATTAATAATTAGTTAATATTAATAAATGATAATGCTAAATCCACTGGAACAAGTATTAGTAACAATATCCCCCACCCATACAGTATTCCGTGGTAGAAGATACGCGGGGAGACGACCAGGTCAGTTCACTTATGATAATATTAATGATAAGTAATAATCTATTTGGATCAGCATTGTTTCTATATTTGATATTGTGGTTATATTAGATTTTATTAATGTGTTCGATTAGGTATCCGTGTTAGTCAGTATGATTCTAGAACAACCAATCAAGAAGCCATGCTGCGCACCGCCTCCAGGTATGTAATCTTTGATTGGTTGATTTTCGACACGTTTGTTTTTCTTGTATTACATGACTCACTGGTTTAGAGCAGTTTTCGTATGACTGTGAAAAGCTTACGGCACGAACACAGTCATGACATGACAAGGGATACGCCAGACCAATCACATTGCGCGATAATTTACTATTCATCCAATCAAATACCCGAAACCCGGCATAAATACGGCGCGGACACGGTCACGTCAAGGTCACGGGACTGCAGACCAATCATATTGCGCGAGAAAAAAATTTAGCCAATTAAAATTCTAGAACACATCACGGTCACGGCACGTCACGCTTACGGCACTGAGCTTTTCACAGTCATACTAAAACTGCTCTACTGGCTCACTATGTTACTGACTGACAAATTGAAGACTTAGTGGCTGACATGGCTGACAAACCGACCAGCTGACTGACTGACGGTCGGACTCACTGACTGTCCAACTGCCTTGCTGATTGACTGATTGAGTGACTGTCTGTCTGTCTGTCCAAATAACTAACGGACTGACGGACTGACTGACCAACTAACTGACTGTCTAAATAACTGAGTGCCTGATTGATTGAAGCACTCAATGGTGTACTTTCCCTTCAGGCTACTTAACAGTAACCAGACTGCTACAGTCCAACAGTGTCACGGTACCCGCCTGGCTGCCTTAACAGAGGATTCAAGCTCTCCCCTAAGAAGACAAGCCTCCACTCCACCAATATCTCTAAGAGGGTACTCACGGGCCACTAGGAGAAGGGAATCCCTCATGGACAGTGATAGTGACACGGATGATGAGACGGGGAACCTTTTTCGGAGTGTTATGGATGAGGATAATGAAATGGATATTGAAGATAGTGATTCCTCAAGTGTTGCTATGGCGACTGGGCTAAATATTGAGCACCCTTACGCTTGGGCGTTAGATGGAAGGCTGTTTGGTGCTGGAGAAAACAATTCGCAGAATAATCTTCAAATTAATGTAAGAAGGAAAAGGTTGTTTGTTGTTCTTGTGTAATGATTACAGTAATGATGATGATGATGATGTTGATGATAGATGGTGATGATGATATGTTTATTATGATGATGATAATAATGATGATGGTGATAATGATCATTATGATGTTGGAGATAGATGATGATGATGGTAATAATGATGGTGATAATGATTGAGGATGATAGATAATGAAAGATGATATATGATGATCATGATGATGGTAATAATGATGATGGTGATGTATGATAATGATGATGATGATATTGTTGATGGTAAGGAATAATGGTATTGGAGGAGAGTAACAAAAGTTTTAATTTATACAACAGTGTTATTTCTCATTTAATTCATTATAAAAATGTCACGCAACGTCACGCTAATTGCAATCTTTTTTCATACCTAGTTTACGCATTACATCAACAATATTGTCACGCCACCAAGTGTACATACAGGCAACTGTTACTTAACACGGATGTACTCCAGACTCGTGAAAGAAGCAATCGACCTTATCAATTCCAACCAATCAGAAGAAACCACTGCGTCCAAAGAAACAATTGTTACAGAAGAACCAGTCTTACAGGTTTTGGCTATAAACCAGGATGAGTGTGGAAATATACTTGAACAAGTGACGTCAGTCCTCGATGTCACGTGGGTTTGGTTGGCCAAAGTGTTGGACGTGGTAGAGGGTCAGTTACAACATGGCGAAGGTTTTGATACTAAGGTATTTTTTTAACGTGACAAATCTTGCGTGACACAAATATATAGCGTGACAACTTACTATGCATAGTGGGGAATTGGCAGCATGTGAAGGCTGTGATGGACAAAGGTCTAGCAAAGGCCTATTCTGTGATAATAAACATGGTGCATTCTGGTCATGCTTGGGTACCAACATGACTATAAGAAGGTAAACAGAAGATGCTTGTACCCAACCTAGACCAGAGTGCACCATGTTCGTTATCGCAAAATAGGCCTCCACCATGAATTTTCTATGTATTTGACAAAGTTATGAGAGAGTATCAAACACAATTCTATTTTATTATTATTGTTGTTGTTGTTGTTGTTGTTGTTGTTATTATTATTATTATTATTATTAATCACGTCTGATGAAGGACCTACGCTCCGAAAAGTTTTACGTCTTAGTGGACTTTTACGTTTACAGGCTTAAAAAGAAAACTAAGAAAACATTTCTACAACATTATTTTATTTTTTCCAGAGATACTTGGCCACCCTACAGCGACCAGAGGACTCCGATTTCACACCAATCCCTCGCTCATCAAGCACTAACCGCCCCGGGTCCACACCTGAAGAATATTTAATGTTCTTACTGCGATCACATACCAACGAACATGACGATACGTTACCAGTCATTGATATGTTATGGTGAGTATTGTGACCCCAACGCTGGGGTGCCTGTGTGTTTTTGAAGATGAGAGGAAATGGGAAGAGAATAGGCTAGATGCCTTACTAATGCGCATATCATATTCAAACACCTCATACATTATCAATTTATCGATGGTTTACTATCCTCGACCACAGATACCTGTCCAAGCATTTCGTTGAGCATGCGCAGTAAGAATTACAGGGTTCTACGATCTAGAAGACCTTCTTTTGAATTTGAAATTAAACTAGACGCATATCTGCGTGAACTCGGGCTTCATAGCAGAAAATCGAAAGAATCCTTCGTGAACACTGTCATCCTTCTGACGAAACCTTGAAAAATTCCGCCGTTGCTCGACCATGTACTTATGTGGCGCATACTACGCATGCGCATAGAACTTGCGCATGCGCTTTGAACGCAACTGCGATTTGTGACAGAACGCAAATAAAAGCCCAATTTATACCTCGGGCATTTCTTTGAAAACCCGAGTAATAAAACATTTCAATTGATTTGTTTACAGTTACGAACACATGGTGTACATTCTGGATTCTTTTATCTACTGCACCAAGCGCTGGCCCAAATCACAAAGGATACTCGATAGAAGCATCTCGTCCATCAGTAGCATGGATGGAGAAGAATCCACTTCTGGAGTTTCTTTCACCGATGTAACCCCCGCAAATAGTGAGACTGGTCTCCATAGTAASCAAACGAATCCTCGGCGCAGGCGCAATAAAGAAAGAGAAGATTGTATCAAGTTTTATGGCATGAACGTAGCCGGGAAGGACCGGGACGAGTTTCTGAATAACATACAAGCCACTCTGCAGCAGAAGTCCCGGATGCTTGTTCCTAAGGCAACCTGGGAGGTGTTCACCCATAACGTCGGTACTCTAAGAATGAAGTCAGTAGAGGAAGCTAGCCAGGCTGGCAGAACCAGAACTGACGTAGAGAATGCACTTCCAGTTACGTTTGACCGCGTATCCAGGTACATTCTGATAGAGTTTCTACTTTATTGACAAATGCGTAAAATGTTAATACAAGGTGTTGTTGTTTCCAAAGGCAACCATATCCTTCGCCCTTGGTTCACAACTGGTCAGTGGATCAAGTCATTGAGAGATGGAAAATCTCCGTTGATTTGTTTTCCCGCCTTTTTCTCGCCGACGGGCCTGGTGCTGAGCGGGACAGTTTCTTGGCCGCACGAGCTGGCGTGGCGGGAAGATTGGCACGGTAAGATTTTTACCTTTTTAAATTAATTTTTATTGTGATTATGATAATGATGGTGATAATGATGATGACAGTGATGATGATGATATATGATGGTGAATTGTGATGGTGATGATGATGATGATGATGACAGTGATGATGATGATATATGATGGTGAATTGTGATGGTGAATTGTGATGGTGATGATGATGATGATGATGATGACAGTGATGATGATGATATATGATGGTGAAATGTGATGATGGTGATAATGATGACGACAGTAATGATGATGATTATGATATATAATGATGAAAGTTGATGATGGAGGTAATGATTATGAAATATGGTGGTGGTAATGGTGACTGGAAAATAGCATCAGTCGTCACGCAATGATGATGACAACAGTGATGATGATGATGACGGTTTTAATCACCATTGGTGAAGATTATGATTATACATCGTAATGTATAGTGATGACACAACATCTTTCTCCAGGTTCCGTCGTACCATCGTCTACTTAAGAGAATCAGTAACTGCAGATTCTCAACAAGGGGGCCTAGCCTTCGGAGGTCTCGCAGGGAGAGTGGGAACAACTCTATCAATCGCTGTCAAGAGAATTCGACTCCTGGAAGACACGCTAAGAATTCTGGGAGAGGTAAGTTGACAATAATAGAGCGGTTTTCGTATGAGTGGGATGGGAAACGAGACGGCAAATTAGGATGCGTAGCTACGGGTCGTGATTGGTTTGATGGTATGTGACGTACCGTGTACGTACTGTATGATAATCGCTCTAATGATAAATCAGCTACTACTCTTTCTAACTTTACTTCTTTCTGCCTTTGCTCTATAAGCTGTTCCGAGGTTGAGTAAGAGCTGGGTCAAGGTGGCATTGCAGTGCATTGTGGGAGCTTTTAGGAGAGGACAWGGACCCCATCTTAGAAATGTGTCCCCTCAAACAGCCCCACAATGCAATGCAATTAAAACTCGACCCAGTTTTTTCCTCAACCCCGGATTGGCTGATAGACACAAAATATTTGTTACCTCTTTGCAAGCTCCGTTTCCGTCCCATCCAATTCAATGCATTTTTTTCAATACCAGTCCTGGTATGGCAACAGACTTTCTTATCGATGTGGGATGTTTTTTATTTCAGATGCAGCCGTTTCATTACAGTAATTTTCGTGCTAAATTTGAAGGAGAAGAAGGCTCTGGTCCTGGTGTTAACCGAGGGTTCTTTGCTGCTGTAGCCAACGCGCTTAAGTCAGATGATAAGGTAAATCGTCTGCCTATACCTAACGGCTGCCAATATGGCTATCAAAAACGTGCCATGACCTTTTCCGATTTTGACAAACAAGATGCATTGTGGTCTATCTTGGGTACAAACAACACAATGTCAGGCATGATGAACAAAACATTTTCGTACCCAATCTAGACCACAATGCACTTTGTTCATATAAGGATTGATGAACAAAAGAAAAGATGTTTGTACCCAAGTAAGACCACAATGCACCATGTTCTTATGAGGCATGGTGAACAAAAGAAAAGATGTTTGTACCCAA